CAAATTATTAACTTCTACGTTGAGGAGAGAGACGAAACACAAGCTGATGATTGGAATCCCCTGCTAGCGCTTAAATCTGCGTTTTTCCGACATTTCTTGTTTCTTCTTCAAGATGTACGCTGATATTCGCTGATGGGCTGTCCGGTACAGCATGTACATCCCTCGGTAGAAGCGCTCCTCCGGCCCCTCCTCGTCGGACGACTCGTTTTGCTTATGGTGTTTCTGAACGTTCCTCTTCCGCCCGACTGCAATAGACGATACCGGCACAGGCTTTGTTGTCGAAGATGTCAGCGACACTGGCGGGACCGGCTGTAATCTATAGAGCGTCGAGGAGCTGCCGCCGGATTGGAGAATATCTAATCCAGGCTTGGGCTGCACTCTCGAGGGCAGTGGATTCACCTTCGACCTACCTTTGGGAGGCGAGACGGTACGGGGCCTCTTTTGTAATCGATTTACAGAGGTTTTCTCGGGAAAGGGTTGCTTCGGAGTTGCTTCTCTCAGTCTCTCAAAGGTCTGCAAAAATGTGCGGTTCGGGGTGTAAGATTCAGACTTCTCTAGAGGAGCCATGGCAAATGCCGAGACCAAGCGGCTCTGGAAGGATATGGCATCCTCAAAGAGAGGGGACCCCAACTTGTCCAGGTCCGTATTAATGCGATTTTTCTCAGATATTCTCTTTTTATGGGCCATCGTTGCCTCTCCTTAACGTATTCACAATTTTTGTAACTAAACGATAGAAAATACAATCGAGAATTGTGTGTTGGTCTTTGAAATTTCTTATTTTTGGTGAACAAGTCTGATTTTCTATACGAACAAATGATTGAATACTCGTATTTATAGATAATGGAATGGCTACTTTCTATGTTGGTTACAAACAGGAGAAGAGGAGAGAAATTGATACCACCTTGAGGGCTGGGTGGCTGGAGATCTGTATACGCATAGACTTGGCGGATGGGCTACTATAATACGTGATAATCTCCAGGCTAGACTCTTCCTTTTGGAGTGTCAGAAAGCTGATGACAATACTATCTATGCAGCACAGGTGGTACAAGAAGTCATGCTCTTCAGTGGCCAATTGGGCCTAGATCTCGGGGGTTTTATTCGATTTTGAGTTCAAGAATCGTCTTGGATGACCAGCTATCTGGATCTTCCTATTGTATATACTTTAGGAGCTGCTTTATCACTATATGTTGATTGTATAGGATGCTTTCATCTGTCCCGGAGAGAACCAATCTGCTTAGATGACCATCTACTTGTCAAGAACCAAATACATACATTCCATCTTGAAGGATGCATCCAAAATTTGCAGTTTAGTGCCGTGTTTCGATATTAATAAGTGCCAATGTATTATTTCTGAAAATATATGAATACCCAGAAAAGCGAATATACATTTACTGGCGTCGAGTAAACACGAATCCCCCCTTATTAAAGATCCCTCGAAACCGTCTGCAGAAGCAACCCCTCCTCTCAGGAGCCCCATTCATACAGTGTATGGTATTCCCCTTCTTCACGGTAATGCCTTCATAAATATGTCGCTAATTTAGCAGAACGGCAATTGTTGCATTTGTTAAAGTTCCATCTCCATTTGGCTTTGGGCACTTTAATTTGAATTAGTGTTTAAATTTTCGCACTTGCTGCCGCTCATAAATTAATGAAAGTCGCAGCGTCTGCCCCGAGAAGGGAAGAAAAGAGAAGCGTATGTTTATTCTATGATTGTGGGGCATTCAAATGTCTAAATACTCATACATACATACATATACGGGTACTCCGGAACGGGTACATGTGTATTTTGTCGTTGCTTCGGCTTCTGCTGCTGCTGTTGTTGTTTCTGGTAAGTGCCATTTCAAGCTCATTAGTGGCCATAATTAGCCAGAGGAGTTTATGGCCCACAGACACTGGCGAAATGCAGACAAGACACATTCAAGGCACAGACGAAACTACTTACAGTGGGCACTAAAAATACACGTACTACTACCAGAAGGAGGGAGAGAGGGAGGGACTGTGTGTTTGGGTCTCCGCCAGGGTGATCATTGGAGGGTGCTACTATTCTGCTCATACAGGATACACTGGATATCTAGAGCAGCTGTGAACAGCTGATTGGTTTTTAGGTTTTCCTTCGATTTCTATAAGTCGAAGCCTATGGAAATCGATTATTTGTTGTGACACTGACACCATTCAACTCCGCTCCATTTCGAATGGCTTACCTATCCATATCCCCATTATCCCGCACAACAATGGGACAAATGCCCGATAAGTACCACATGTTCCCCATTGTCAAAGGTAATCTCCACTCTGCAAAAAAAAAAACAACAAAACAAAACCCTGAAGAGGTGTTGCCCAGGGAAGGAGGGGAGGGGAGGGGAGTGCGTGCAAAATTTCGCACACACTCAAAACATGAAATAAAATAAAAAGGGCATGTGTTCGCCCAAACACACAGGGCAAACGGAGAAGAAGCAACTGTAAAGATACTTTTCGGCTGCCCCGGCATTACACACCGAGCGAGGGGGCGAGGGACGAGGCGAGGCGAGGCAACTTTACGGCCCCGCGTATTACAAACTGAAACATGTGTTTATTGTCCAACTGTCTTAGCGGGCTCTGCTATGGTCTCTCCCCTCCCCTCCTCTCCTCTCAGCGTCTGCTGCTATTCCTACTCCCGCTTTTACTCCTACTTCTTCGAGTTCCTCCTCTTCCAGTCGTGCGAAAAAAAAGCAAGAACGAAAGGTTTGCTCTGGGGTCGAAACATGGATACCCTTTCATGGCAATCGTTCTGATCTCAACCGTTACGTCGGCTTTGTTTCTGTACCCTCTCTTCTTATGTGAACTTTTCCTTCTCACTCTTCTCTCCTTCTTCTTTTCCACAACAACAACAATTACGCCATGCTCATCAGAGACGCGCTCTCGCTCACAGACTATGCTCTCAGCAACATTGAATCTAAACAATATCGAACCATGTATCGTTTCGACTACTATTTATTGAATAACAAAATAGAATGATGTTACTATCTCAATATCCGACAAGTACTTTATCCATACTATATATGCCACTACTTCTCTACACATTTAGTGCTTGGCAAACATCTTCCCAAACCAATCATACCCTTCCGCAGGGTAGAGCCCTCGCTGTCAGCGGCGGCGACTGCAACACTTCAAGTGACACTGCAGACACTCTCTCGGTCCGTGCTCCCCTCCCTCTCTCGTTTCTTCTCATTTAGCGAATGTGTGAAATTTCATTTAGTTTTTTTTTTGTGCACTCCCTTTTGCTCCACTCCGCTGCTGCTTTTGTTGTTAGTTTTTAGGGAGTTTTGTTTTTGTCATTAACAAATGGGAAATTAAATTGCGCTTAAATTTGCCTGTACGAAAAGTGTGAGGGGGGACGGGACTGGAAGGTAGAATGGTAAAGAGGCTGGTTAAAAATAGATTTTTCAGCTGGCGAAAAATGCTTTAGGTCGCTCATTGAGTACTTTTTGTTGTTGCTAGGGAGATAGACAGAGAGAGAGAGAGAGAGATCGGCAGTGTTACAATTTCCACCAATATTCCCTCTCACAAGCAAATATTGAATATTCCGCTCATTCGAAAGTGCTGATTGGTGCTATGAAGTGGGAATTGCTTGCTCATCAACACGGATCCAGGTTCAAACCTGTTCCTCAAGTCCATTCCCATTTTCAATTCAATTCATCCTTCGAAGCAACAGAAATAGTTCAAAATACTGCCGGAAATGGCTTTTGAGGTCCGCTGGCACTCAAATAATATTGTAATAAAGCTTATTCCAAACTGTCGTGACTGCTTTCCCCTCACACTCAATTTTCCCTTTTGCATCTCCCATTCCACACTTCTTAATGGAGAAAATCATACCCGTATTTCCCATTCCGTAACCAAGGGTTTGGGCAAGGTCCAGAGATGGTTAGGGCAGTAGTAATCACGTTGTAGAATGGATTCTGAGAATATCTTTAGAGTGGGGAGGCCTCAAGCACAAAGCCCTGTATATCCCTACTCATTTTCAGCTCGATTGCACTCAACATTGCAGCTGCTCGCAATTAAAACAGAAAGCAACTTTGTCACTTGAAACCGTTAATAGGCCTTAAGCCGGCTTAATCCACGGCAGGAGGCCAAGGGAAAGGAAAAGTTCAAGTTAAACGAGCAGCAACAAATGCGAGTATCCCCCCCCTTCTTTCTGTCTCTTCCTTCTATTGGCTTCGTTTGGCTCCTTGGGGGACGGACTCTGTGGGAGGGGCTGGCCCAGTCCCCATTTGATTTAGCATTTTCTGCTTCGATTTCATTCCATTTCTGTGGTGCAAAACCCATGTCAAAATTCCCTGTGACAGCCCCAAAAACTTTGCGCTTAAAAATAAATCAAAACTTTTCATTCCAGAATTCATATTCGTCTTTCTACTCCCCCAACCACCACCCATACATCCCCCAGATAAATGTGCTGATAATTTGTATACGTTTCTTTTTTTTCTCCTTTTCCTCCTTTCTTTTTTTTTTGCATATGTCAACTTTTGTCAATGGGCCAAAAGAGAGTTTCTGGCCAAAACTTTCTATCATGCTGAGACATGGCAAAGTTTTGGCATCACTTATGGCTTTGTTCTTGGCCTGAGAGCGAAAGGGGGGCCATGAGGATTCCGACTGTATCTCTGTTCAAGTCTGTGGGTTAAGCTTTGATTGTTGCTTATCTGCAGGCAGCAGACACATTTATTTTAATCAGCCATCAGAAGTCTGAACTCCTTCGGAATTGAATACATTAAATGTAAGAATATTATCAGTGAATACCAAACAGGACCAATCTTTATATATGAATTATCTTTATTATCTATTAATTTGAAAGTTCTAGTTTGTGTTGCTCCGTACTATGTCGTTGGAAGCATTAACTGATAGCACTAATCATCACTTTTGGATGAGCGGAATGTAAATGCTCATTCTGCCGTTTGAACACAAACACCGTTACACGAGATTTTTATACATATTTGAATATATAAAACACTGCAACCTTGGGTGTCAGCCGCTTACTGAAACTTCTCCGCCAGATTGAATTGTTTTATTACGGTGACCACGGAAAAGGCCAGCTTTACCATCTACAAAGAATCGAGAGGTTATATAGAGGTTATATACAGACTATCCGAAGAGTTCTTACCGATAGATTCGTCTGCATGCAGATGGGAAAAACTCCGCCCGCTGTGAGGATAATCGGTTGCTGGAGATTGTGCAGAAAGTAGACCAACGTGGACTTGTATTTGCGACTGGCCCCTAACCAGTCCGATTGGAACAGGCTCTCCGATAGCTCGCGGCAGTCCTCGATGATGATGTTGCACAGGTAGCAGAAGGGAAAGGTTTCCAGACACACATCAAACATGAAGCACATGGTGCCGATGCCTGTCCAGAAGTTGGAAAAGAACATGATATGGATCATGGACAGACCCAGAACCAGGCCAATCAACAGGAACTGCACGAAAATGGTGACCGAGTAGACGGGTCGCAGAAGATTAACATATCTAAGGGAAGACCATATAATGACCGTACCTATAAAACCGATGAGGCAATGACCTTACTCCAGTATCACGGAATGGTCCTGGATGCATCTATTCAGATCCTCCTGGTGTTCCTTCTCAGTTTTGCTGTAATCCGAGTGTAGCTTAGTCAGCCGATCCTTGAGCAGCCCCATGTGACAACGAGCCATTATCATGTGGGCCAATGGAGAGACGTCGGTGCACTGGTTCATGGTAACCACGCCGCTCATCAGCAGTAGCTCGAAAAAACTGGTCACTAGAAAGTTCTTCTCGGAGTCCAGTCCAGGCAGGTACATCCGCCAGGCGTGGCTGCCCAACAGGAGGTAGCCCGTCCAATTAATGACCACAAATCCCGAGTATAGGATGTGGTATGTCACATAACACCTGTTCGCCAGAGCCACGGAGCGGTGCACACTGGCACGGTCCTCGTCGCTGGTGCAGCGCAGGTCCAGGCGATCCAGCAGCTTCCTGGCTGCCTGAAATCTCTTGTAACCAAACATGGTGTAGACGCACTTCAGGGAACAGCCATACATGTCCACGCAGATCTCCAAGGAGCCAAAAAACTCTCCCGGCGAGAAGTTTTTGAACCTCTGCACATACTCCATGGACATCGACAACGGCAGCAGGACGAGCAGCAGAACGTTCCAGATAAAGGCCCAGGTATTATAGAGTACCATCCATCGCTCATCCTCGGTGGCTCTCCAGCCCCAGAGCTTCTGTACTCGATCCAAGTAGACAAAGGCATCGCGGGACTGAATCCTCTCCGTCAACGGCTTGGCTTGGATACGCGGAAACAACTTGCTCAACATCTTGGCCGGAGTTCTGTCTCGAATATGTCGAATGCATAGAACTAGTGTCTTATATAGACTGTCGGTTTGTTGTGGATCACTTTGTTGTTGTTGTTGAATCACTTTTTTTGAGTTCGCTCAAAAGTTGGGCATATTTTATTTGCCCTTTTGTACATAAATATTTAACAGACCGAAAGTTGATTGGGCTATTTCTATAAACTATTGATTATGTCTTTCTGTCTGTTTCTTCGGATCGTTAAAGTGCTATATGTATATATATCAATCAGTGATGAAAAATATGATAAATCTTTTCTAAAAATCCATTTAAAGGGCATCATTCAGTCGGGTTCTTTGGTTATAGTTGGCCCTTCACATGTTTTATTCGTAACTTTTAGTTATTATTCCCTTTGAAACTAGCGCAAATTGTTGAATTATTAACATTGGGAATGAATGTACTGCCAAAGAAGTCACCTTTAGGGAAAACTGTTTAGACTTGGTATAAGATTGCACCTCCGTTCTAAACATTCTGTATGCTTGTGTATGAATAAGGTGTCCGAGGAAACAAACTACAGAGCTTTAGGCCCTTGGGGATGAGCTACTAGTATCGGTCATAACATACTGTCTTACAGAAACTTCTGTGAAAGTTTTTAGCTCTGTTTCTGTTGCTCCACACGATGTCTGTACATAGCACTAATCAGCACTTTCGGATGAGCTCCACGTAACTGCTCGATGTGCTTGCTGAAAGGTGTGTTATGCCAGGTGAAAAGTAATAATCTCGGAGACTTCGTACAGAAACTTCTGTGAAAGGTTTCAGCTCTCGAATCACAGCTCGGCATTTCCTCGATCTTCCGGAATTATATGCTGATTCCGTTAAAGCGGTTTCCATTATCAGCTGACTGTCAATCCATGATAACCCCGGCAGAGTGATTCTGCCCTCGGATGTCTCAATTTGTCACTCGAATCATGCTGCCGCCGATTCCAGCGATTCCACAGATTCATCAATGTCGTGGAGCCGTCTCCCTTGGATGTTTGCAAATGCCGCGAAATTGATGATGAAGTCTGGGAAAGCTTTTAAGCTGCCAATGGAAAAAGTTTCACTCGCACACACACCGATAACTTTTGAGCTCTGAACCTTTTGAACCCTTCGGAATCGTTATTTCTGTGTAAACAATTCAATTGCATAAATATGCCAAAAGGAAAACACAATTTAACTCAACGACAACTTTTCTCCGCTCTCCGGTCTTTACTTTTTCGTCTTTCGTATGTCGTTTTTTTGGGATGGAAGGAATAAATAATTCTTAACAATTTGATTCAATCAGAGGCGATATCGAATGCTGGGAATTGAAAGGCCTTTGTCACCTTTATAGCAGCGTAAACTTTTTGCCCAAAAAGTTATTTAAAACATTTTCCCCCCCATGTCCTCCCCCTCTTTCCTGGCACACTCCCAGACTTTTCTCCATTGTTTGCGCTCGAAGAAAAATGCGTTTTTCATGCTAATGTCAAACCTTAATAGATGAGACCCTCCCCTTCCCTTGTAGGGAGGCGTGGCAGTCTCCCCTTAAACCGACCTCCAGTGGAACATGTGTTCTGAGATTTTCTTGTGGCATTTCCATTTCTGGTTAGGAGGAGGCGTCAGCATCATTTCCTGAGTTATTTCACTCTAGAGAATTTTCAATTGGACTTTGCGGCAGTTCCATTTTATTGCGGAGGCGTGGCAGTGCCAGTGCCGAATGGACCACGAGAAATTTAGGTAATTTTCAAAGTTTTCTTCAATGCTGACATTAAATTGACCCAAATAGTTGAAGTTGAACAAACTTGAAAGCCATTATTTGTAACTGTTCTAATAGACCTCTTGGGATTCCCATTCCAGGAAGAAGTTGAGAGCTTTTAAAAGCTCTAGTGCCATTTAAGAAAGTGATGATTAGGGGGAAAGCTGCCCCTACTTTAAATTAACTTTCCAAACAACTGTTTTGGAATAGATTAATAGAGAAAACATTACGCTACCACAAACCAATGTAAACTCCCATCCATCAAGGCATCGAATCCCATTCTATTCAATCTCTGACCCATCTCCTGTTTCTCAATCCAATTAAATGATTCACCCAATGGTAATCCATATATGCACATATCTGTATAACAATTTATCAACTTGTCAGCATATTTAATGGGGACTGGGTTAAAGACATTTGCTTGTGTTTGATGCCTGGCCCCCGTCCCGAAATAAAGCACTCTCCATTTGCCCACATCTATTTCCTCTTCAATCCGTCAATTCAATGACGAAACTCCCATAATATGCCAAATGCCAATATTGCGTATACGTAACGTTGTGCGTCCAGTGTTTTGCTGGCTGGGATTTGTTTAGCAGTAAGCGGAAATAGTTGTAGAGGGATATCTGAGCGCGTGTGTGTGTGTGTGTGTGTGGAGCATGGACCATGGAGCATGGAGCATGTTGTGTTGTGTTGTTGAAGTTTATATGCAGGATAAACTGTTCAACCAACTGACGTACACAGGACAGAGCCTGTCCGGCCCGTGGAGGGGGCAGACAGGCTCAGTCTGCCATAAAAGCAAATAACTGTCGTGTGGGTATATGTTTTAGTTAACTGAACTATCGTTCTCTGTGTCTGTGTCTGTGTCCGTGTCTAGTGTCTGGTGTGTTCGGTGTGTGTGCTGCACACATGTGTACATCTAATATGTTTGTCCATCAATTGTCCTGTCCGAAACTGGACTTCAGTGCAAACATGCTGAAATCTAAATCCTTGTCCGGCTCTAGCTCCGACTCCGACTCCGGCTCCGACTCCCCTTTCCTGCCTCCTTTTGCGGACAACCAACCCAAAGTCAAGACAACGTTTCACTCTCTCAGTTAATAAATATTTCTTTTATCGGTTAAAAAGTAAATATGCAATAAAAAATGCCACAATATATACAATATCTGAAAACGATCCTTGTTATGGGAACAGCAGCTGTTGCATTTCTCTGCTCTTCAAATGGAAATCAGAATCGAATGGCGTTTTGTCCCCTGGCTTTTATTTGCCTACATTTGTGGCCACATCATATCGTTTGAGGCCTGCGAGTTATTGTATTCGTTAGGGCCAAATATTGTGGATAAACATGGCTCGAAGTGAATGGAAAACAAAATTAATTGGCCAACAAGGTGCTAGGGTAAAGAGTTCTACTGAAGGGAACTATAACTAATGAAGAATTCCACGCATTCTATTCATCTAAAGCTTCAAGGAATCCCTTTAAGTAGGTACAAATTTCTCTAAAAAAAATAATTTTGGTGTGTGATTCACGTGTCACGTCTCTGAGCCCTGGCCAAGAGGGTGTGAAGCGATAAAAGTTCAAGAGGAAGGCATATAAAAAAGTCTGCGACAGAGTTGTCACCAGCTGTCCCAAACAATCTTAATATTTGATGTGGAACCACGCATCAAGACGGCAGCTGTGACCCCGATTGCGGAACGGTATGACCCCAGACCCCTCATCTATTGTTCCTTGGGTGGACGGGCAGAACTTTTTAAAATAGATGCCCAGACATTAGCAATTTAATGCATTTGCTGGGCAGAGATGAAATGCATAAATTTGATATGCTAAATTAAGCCACCAAAAAGGATAAGTGGAGTCCAACTTTGAGTGGACGGTGAGGTCCTGCATACGAAATCAGCTTTTCGGGGGGCAGTCACTCCTAGCTGATTATAATGATGATGATGGACTCGGCTCGTTTTGATTTTCAGAAGATTTGGATTCGTCGGAAGTGTGGTGGGGGGTGGGGCCTGCCCCATGATTGCTCTCAACGATTGCGCCACTGACAGACTCTAAAATGCCAGAAACAATTTAATGCTTCATTGATAACCTCACATATGTGGCCTGCCCTGTGCCTGACAGCCCACACAGACTTATCTGGGGTTCTTTCCTTCCTTTCTTTCTTTTCTTTTCACTTTTTTCCCCGAACATGTCAAACAGAAGGCAAGGAAAGAAAGAGAAATACATCGAGACCCGCGCTATGTGCGATAAACATATGAAAAATGCACATGCGGTGAGAGCCAAGTTCAATTCCAGAGGCCAAAAGTTTACGCCACTTAATAGAACTTGACGCAAATTCAATTACAACATTGGACGCCGCCCCCCACTACCACCACCACCACCCCCACACTTCGACACACACTCGGGGCGGAAAAACTTACAAAGAAATTTGCGGAAAAACGTTCGCTGCCGCAGTCAACTTTGCCCCCAAACCGAAACCAAAAGGGAACCGCTCCAGGCGGCTATTCGTATAGGGTATTCGAGTATTGAAAAGGGGTGTATGGTATCTAATGGGCAAGAGAATGCTGTCTGTAAGGTCTATCCCAAAGGATAAGCAATGGATGTAGCAATATGCAATATCCGCTTCGTTTCTTCGTCTCTCACTCGTGTACGAGCTTAATATAGAATATTCCGCTCATTCGAAAGTGCTGATTTGTGTTTATAGCAAAGAATGTCCCCATTGTTATGCGCTGAACGGCTTATCGCCACGGATACACACTCAAAGTTGTTACCAAAGTCCAATCGTAGTGCAAAATTCGGTGGCAAATGGTTTGCCGTATAAGATAGCATTTTCCTATAATTTTAAGACAGTTTTTTGGGTATATCTCCCTCATTTGGTATCTAAAATACTTTTTACACAGTAAATAAACTAAAACTGAGGGCATCCTTCAGTCGGAACCCCGTCTAATCGCTCTTCCTGACTTTTTTCTAGTCATTTTCTGTAAACGTTGTCACAGCCAACGGCGGTTTTGGCTCTGAGGAAAGGTTAGGAAGGACTGCTGGAGGATAAATTCGGAATGGGGTGCAACTTCAATTGGAATTGAAGTTTTTCTCAGCTTGCGGGCAGGCGCTGCTTCCTCTTCCCCTTCCGCACTCCTGGAGGAGCTTCACTGTACTGCAATTAGCAAATAAAACTTGGCATATTTTCGGTGCGGCTAAATGAGGCGTGGTCGGAGAGGCCAAGAAACTTTTGCAATCACTTTCGTTTGCATTCAGGAAAAAGGAATCGACTCGCCCCCCCTTTTGGCTTAGGTCACAAAAACTTGAAAGCCAACAAAAGGGTTTGGGAAGTTTTTTGTTTTGGCCAAGGAGTTGTATCGATGGAATGACTTTTTCATTGGTGGATGGGGGGATAAGGGGATGAGGGGGAAGCGTAATGGTGATTGTAATGCATTTGGAATAAAGTATTATTTATTGGCAAGATATTCGCCGGTGATTGGGGTGGCTTCACCTAACCATTCAGTACAACCAGGAGGTCCCATCCTGATCACCGATGTAAGGAGAGGTAAGAAGATCTGAAGAGTCCCCAATTGATGAAATCTCCAAAGTCCTACTCCCTATCCCCACTCCCGATAGAAGATGGTATGGATGTTGCCACCTCTGAGTTCTTGAAGGATGGTCTGTACAATATAGACTTCAAGGACCGGACCCCCAGATTGAAAAGGGTCTGTGGCTGACACTCGAGAAGCTCGCCAATCCGCATAGAGGAGTTAATCAAGGAGATATTCCCCATTCCTTTCATTGAGGATCCCCTCGACCAGGATTAATAGGATGGATGCCGGACCAACCTCGAGCCTTTGCACCGTCAGCAGAGTACAACTTTGACAACGTTTTGTAAAGCTTTTAGACGTCAGAGCACTATGTTCTATATGCCAACTGAATGCTGAAACTTTTTTCTTTTAAACACAGTTTGTTTTATGAAAATATCTGTATTCGTTCAGAAGTTATTAATTGACGAAGATGCAACGATTTGACCCCAAGTACATTACCGCCAAATTTTGAATTCAAATGTTTGCACACTGGCGCCACATACAAACAGTGTACGCTCTTGGAACTATTTGAGTGTTCCCAGGGAAGAGTTCACTGAATTTTAGTTTCAATTAATGTCAATAGTGGTGCTTTGGTACCAGATTAAGGCGGTAGACGGCGCTACAACCAAAAATCGTATATTTAAAAATATAACGAATATTTAAATATTAACGAATTTATTGTATAATTTGATGGCTACGATGGAGAGGAATAAACAGTGACGGCTGACATTTTACGAATCAGTGATAAGAAATTAGAGATAGATGGAATTCGAAACGTTTTTGTGCTCAATTTGGCTCAATAGTGTATCGGCGAAATAAAAAAAAATCGAAACTAAACATTCAAAAAACATCTTGCAATAAACAAGAAAAACTGTTCCATCGCTTGAACAATTTCCGGCCACCTGGCAGCCTCTTATCCTTCACCCGAACACCACCCCAAAGAGATAACACTGGAATTTTCGGCACTTCTCGACGTGGCTCTATAAATACGTGACCCCGCCAGCGATTTAGGGCCAGAGCAGCAGCAGCAGCAGCCACAGAATAATGCAGCCGCTAAAGAAGGTCGGACTGGGAATAACCTTTCTGCTGTTGGCTCTGCTGGTGGGCAGCGCCGAGGCGAAAAGCTCTCGCCGAAAGATCCACCGGGTGGGTCTGCAAAGAGACACGGATCAGCGGAAGATCCTGCGGAATTTGGGACACCAATATAAGGTGATCAGAAGTAAGCCAAGGCTGGCAACGGCCCAGGCGGAGACTACAATGTTCACAGCGTCCTCGTCATCGAGTATACCCACAGAGACGCTCACGAATTCCTACAACACGGAGTACTACGGCCAGGTGACGATTGGCAGCCAGCAGTTTCAGGTGCTCTTCGACACGGCCTCGGCCAACCTTTGGGTTCCCTCTGTCAAGTGCAACCAGAAGGTGTGCCTGCAGCACAATCGCTACAACTCGAGTCGGTCCAAGACGTATGCGGCCAATGGCAGCGCCTTCCAGATCGAGTACGCCACCAGGGAGGAGGCAGTCATCTTGGAGGGATTTCTGTCCACGGACAGGCTGAAGATTGCCGGACTCACGGTCAAGAATCAGACCTTTGCCGAAATCACTTCGATGCCGGAGAGCGTCTTCAATCGGTCCAACTTTGATGGGATTTTCGGTCTGGGTTTTCGCAGCATCTCCATTGGAGATGTGAACCCACCTCTGCTGAATCTTTTTGAACAAGGACTCATCGAGGCGCCGCTCTTCTCGCTTATCCTCAACCGGAACGCCTCTGAGCCGAGCAATGGGGGCCAGCTGCTGCTCGGCGGCAGCGATCCCACGCTCTACAGCGGCTGCCTGACCTACGTGCCGCTCTCCCAAGTCGGATACTGGCAGATCACCGTCGGCAGCATCAGCCTGGACACTGGCTCCGATCTCTGCTCCAACTGTGAGGCCATCATCGATGCTGGCACCTCGCTGATTGTCGTTCCGTCTGCCACGCTGGCGGCCATCAACCTAAGATTTGGCATCACGGCAGCCGACAAGAGGGATGGAGTCTATACCATCTCCTGCGACAAGGTGTCCTCCCTGCCGGTCCTGACCTTCAACATTGGACGCAGGGACTTCACCCTGCCAGCCTCCAGCTACATCCTCAACTACGATGGCACCTGCGTCTCCGGTTTCACCAGTCTGTCGGACGGAGGCAATGATCTGACCGGGCTCTGGGTGCTGGGGGATGTCTTTCTGGGCCCCCTCTACATCGAGTTTGATATGGAATACAAACGCATTGCCATTGCCCCCAAATTGTAAATATCTATACATATTTCTGTATCTATAACCTATAGGAATGACATAATTAATAACCAACATATCTTCAAATATATACATTATTCTGGTATTGTGATTATGCTTTGTTTTTGCAGATCAGATTCGTTTAGAAATTTATTAGAATTTTCCAAATTTAATTTCTATTCCTATATTTCCTATATTAAAGTTATTACAACTAAATGATCTTCTTCATGGAGTGACAGCGTCCTAACAAGGACACGTTTTTGGGCACGGAAAGGACAGTCAAAGTGTTTTCTTTGTTGATGTTTTTGCTTTAGGTTTTTGCTTTTGCCTTCAAAAGCACTCGCTGGCAAAGCTTAGAAGAGGAAAGGAGAAAGAGATACTCACACACACATACATACATATGTACATTTGCAAAAGACAAAAGGTGGTCCTTGTTTAATTTCTTCATGACTGCACTTAAATCTCTGTACGTATCACTCTCTTACTCCAACTCGCTCTGACGCTCATTTTCAGTAAGAGAGGGACGAAGACGAGTAGCAGAAACGAATTCCAACTGTCCATAAGCGCAAAATGAAACATGCAAGGTGGTCTGATCTCCTTCGTGTCTTATTTCTCGGTAACACCCGAAAAGCGAACGCGTTGCGTGGCCGAAGCACCTTGCATAATTTCATCGCGAGCGAGTAAATAGGAAGAGCAGCAAAAGGAGAGCATGAAATGAGAGAGCATTAAGCCGCCTACGCGTCTCGCTTTCAGTTCAAGTTTTTTTTCGTCCGGTTTCCGCGCGTTTTTCTTGGCTCCGCGTTCCTTGGCCGCAAAAAGCAGTAAAAAGTTTGTAAAAATCGGTAAATATAGTCGAGCAATTTGTGTTAGTGCAGTGCAGTGGGAAATATCCAAAATCCGGGCTCTAAAGTGTTTTTTTTTTAACTAAGCAAATGGCGTGCCTGATGGTTAATGTGTGGAAGTGTGCAGTGCAGCAAGTGGCTTATATGTATGCACATATTAATGTATATCTAATACACCTATGTGCATATGTATGTACATATATTTTTTTAATGTGCAAAAAGCTGAAAATTTTCATTCGATCTCGAGGTCTTTCCTTGCCCTTCGTTCGCCATGGCATACGTGCCAAATGCACATCTATCGCTCTCTCTTTCAAACACTGCAGGAGAACTAGGCGCAGACAAGAAGCAGATCAAAAAGGAAGAGTAAGAGAGAGCGCTGCCAATAAGGTAAGAAACTCTCTCTTTTGTTATGCGTCTGCTCTTATGGGGAAAAAGTTGCTGTAAAACGGGGAAAGGGGTGAAAATCATGCGAAAAATGGAAATTGCTACGGAAATCTCACCACAGAAATATGAGCGCGGGTCTTGTTCTCTTTTTTTGCCATAGGAACAATCAACGGTTTGGAAGTGGACATAAAAAAGGGAAAGAAAATTTAATGTAATAAAGATGATGAAAGACAATTTATTAATTTGTTTTTCCTTATTTGCCTCGTCATGACTGTACTCGTAGTAAGCCATTTTCCAAGAACAATTTCCAAATGTAGCTTTAGTATGGGCCTTGTTGCACCTCGAGCTGGAACTTAATTGGATGTACTTATCATAGAATAACAATTTAACAAGTATTACTGGATAATTCTGGAGCCACTTTCGATGGAATCAAACGTGGTCCCTTATTCAAGCGGCATCTGCTGCAGTTTCCACATTTGGGACTCGGGTACCTCAACAATTTTTTGATTTTATGCTTTTCAAGCTCTCTCTCTTTTTCCATGACCTTGTTCGAATTCAAGGTCAATCTACCCTTCCGCAGGGAGTCAACTTTTAATTGAAGATAAGATAAGAACATAAGTTTTCAGACCATATTTATCTCTGCAAATTGATTTGTTTACCATCTTTCTTATCTATGAAGCCCAGTCCGAAAAGTGCAATTGTATTCTACAATTTTTCATTCAAAATCCCTCATTTAGATTATTGGAAAGCCCAGTGTCTGTGTTTAATGGTTAATATATTTTTTGTTTATTTTTGGCACGTCTGCGATTCGTATAAACGATCGGCATGGACAATCGATCACAGGAGATATCTTTTTCCACTAAATTTTATCTATCGGTGATCCATTGCGGCCGGCTTTGCCCTTGTCATGGGGTCGAGCCAATAAAAGGCCGTTCCCTGGGGGTGTCTTCAGCAGTCCGGCCCCAGACACTAAAAGGGCAACATCGAAAAAGAGTTTAACGAGAATCTAAAAAGGAATAAAATGTTCAAGTTGTTTGTGCTACTGTGTGTCCTGGCGCTGGCCAGTGCCGAGCTGCAGAGGATCAAGATCCACAAGAGCGAGCACAAGAGGAGTCGCCACCATGTGAGGCAGGAGGTGCGCTCGCTGAGGCACAAGTACCAGCAGCTCATCGAGAACTACGTGGTGTACGACTACGGACAGCCGGACTACGGAAATGACTATCCGTCGAACAGCGAGCCGGACTACACCACCGAGGAGCTGGGCAACTCGATGAACATGTACTACTACGGACAGATCAGCATCGGAACTCCGCCGCAGTACTTCAACGTGGTGTTCGACACCGGCTCCTCCAACCTGTGGATACCCTCGGCCCAGTGCCTGTCCACGGACGTGGCCTGCCAGCAGCACAACCAGTACAACGCCAGTGCCTCGTCCACGTATGTGGCCAACAGCCAGAACTTCTCGATCCAGTACGGAACGGGAAGCGTGACCGGATACCTGGCCACGGACACTGTGACCATCAACGGACTGGCCATTGCCAATCAGACCTTCGGCGAGGCGGTGTCGCAGCCGGGCAGCAGCTTCACGGACGTCGCCTTCGATGGGATCCTGGGAATGGGATACCAGACGATAGCCGTGGACTCCGTGGTGCCGCCGTTCTACAACCTGTACGAGCAGGGGCTCATCGATGAGCCGACCTTCGGCTTCTATCTGGCGAGGAACGGCTCCTCCGAGGAGGGTGGCCAGCTGCTGCTCGGCGGCGTCGATGAGACGCTGATGGCCGGCGATCTCACCTACGTGCCCGTGTCCCAGGAAGGATACTGGCAGTTCAGCGTGAACAACATCTCCTGGAACGGCACGGTGCTGTGCGACGGCTGCCAGGCCATTGCCGACACGGGTACCTCCCTGCTGGCCTGTCCCCAAGCGGTCTATACCCAGATAAATCAGCTCATTGGAGCCGTCCTCATCGAAGGCAGCAACTACATTCCCTGCGCCACCTTGGACTCCCTTCCCGTGCTGAGCTTCAACATTGGGGGCACCACCTTCGACCTGCCTGCCTCTGCGTACATCAGCGTGTTCCACGACGAAGGCTATACGTCCTGCATGTCCACCTTCACCGACATCGGCACCGACTTCTGGGTCCTGGGCGATGTCTTCCTCGGCCAGTACTACACGCAGTTCGATTTTGGCCAGAATCGCGTGGGTTTCGCTCCTTTGAGCAACTAAGTTTTGTTCTTCTTCGAGAAATATGCAATAATAAATGTGGAATGCCCTCCCCCGCACCCCCGAAATACATTTCTTGACGCTATCACGTGTGAAATTCTTGGCCCAACGGTGCACGGCCAGAGCGGCTATAAATACGTGACCGAAGGGCGGTCACACATTGAGTCGAGAGCCGCACCGCGATGGAGGTGAAGTGGAACTGCTGTAAACTGATGCTAATACTGGCCCTCTGCTCATCCGCGGTGGAGTGTCGGAGGCGCCTGAAGGTGGGCAGACGCCGGAATCCCCAGGCGAGTCATCTCAATGTTCAGAACGAGCTCAAGTCCCTGTCGATAAAACACAAACTGAATGCCACCACAACAGCACCAGAGACAGCATCAGCACCAGAGACAACAAAGGACCCTGGCTCGAGTGGAACTAGATTGGGGAATGCCTTCAACACGGAGTACTATCTGCCAGTGACGATTGGCACCCCGCCGCAGGAGTTCATCCTGCTGATCGATACGGGCTCCTCGAATCTCTGGGTACCCTCCAGCAAGTGTCCGGCCACGGTCAAGTCCTGCGTGAGCCACAACCAGTACGACTCCAAGTCCTCGAGCTCGTATGTGGCCAATGGCACGGCCTTCACGATCGAATACGCCTCGAAGTCGGAGGGCGGAGTGGCGCTCTCGGGCATCCTGTCGCAGGACACGGTCACCATAGCGGAGCTGGCCATTCAGAGGCAGGTCTTTGCCGAGATCACCGACGAGCCAGAGGCCACGTTTCTCTCCTCCCCCTTCGACGGGATGTTCGGTCTGGGCTACGCGAGTATCTCCATCGGCGGGGTCACTCCGCCGTTCTACAACCTGGTGGCCCAAGGGCTGATCAAGCACCCGGTCTTCTCCATCTATCTGAACAGGAACGGCACCAATGCCACAGACGGCGGTGAGCTCGTTCTCGGCGGCATTGATGCGACACTCTTCAGCGGCTGCCTCACCTACGTCCCCGTCTCCCAGCAGGGATACTGGCAGTTCGTGATGACCAGTGCGGTGCTGGGCGGGAAGACCTTTTGCACCCACTGTCAGGCCATACTCGATGTGGGCACTTCCCTGCTGGTGGCTCCAACAGCCGCGATCAAAAAGATCAACCAGTTGTTGGCTGTGCTCAATCCGAAGGACGCGAGCGGCGTTTTCCTGGTCAACTGCTCGACGATAGCCAGCCTGCCGACGATGGTTTTCACCATTGCCCGAAAGGAGTTCCCCCTGCAGCCATCCGACTATATTCTGCAGTACGGGGAGACGTGTGTCTCGAGCTTCACCAGCCTCGCGGGCAGTGACCTGTGGATACTCGGCGAGGTCTTTATGGGCGCCTACTACACGGTCTATGACATGGGCTACAATCAAATTGGACTGGCCACGGCTATGCATTGAATGGGAATTGAATTGATGCCAAATGAATCTTAGGCTATCCAAGTGCTTGAATTTGAGTTGGGAGATGTCTAAATGTACTCAAATATATTCATAAATAGTGTCCAATATAATAATCAATATAATAGAATACAAATATAATAATAAATAATGTTTAAAAGAAACTAAAAAGCTTTACGGGTCCGATAATCAAATATAGAGCACATTAAAGTCTAAGCAAAGTCCTGAAATGCTCTAAAGACTGTACTTTTATTTCTTATAAAAAGTTTAGTGTTTCGTGCATCAACCCCCGGCTCACTCGCTTCTCTTCGTTCGGCTTACTCGCTTCGTTCGGTTCTCTCGCTTCGTTTCGGCCAATCGCTTCTCTCGCACTAAGCGCAACTATGAGTACAGCACCGCCCCATAGAAACTATATTACTCGATAAATCACATAATGAGAACCAAATTATGTGTGTTTTCGGCACATGGCACGGCCTTACGTGCGAATGTTATGCCACCAAATCCAGCTTTTGGCCTGATAAAGCCCTATTCGAAGACTATAAGTACTGCAGCGCGGACTGGAGGTTGAGCACAGTTTCGAACATGAATCGACGTGTGGTTATCCTGCTGCTCTGCGCGTTCCTCTGTGCCAGTGAGGCGTTTCACAGAATTGCGATGCAGCGACACAAACACCGCAAGCTGCCACATGGCCGACACCTGTGGGCCAGTCGGAAGCACATGCGACGCAAGTTCGGAATGCCAGCAGTAACGACTCAGAGCACCGCCAACAGGAGCACCACCAGTGCACCCTCAGAGGCCATCGAACCGCTCTTTAATGCGTTTCAAACCCAGTTCTACGGACCTCTGTTTGTGTCCGATCAGGCGTTCACCGTGCAGTTCGACACGGGTTCGTCGGATCTATGGATTCCCAACTCCAACTGCAGCACCTGCGTCAAGGAGTGCGGCAACGCTGTGTTCCAGGCGGCCAAATCGAAGTCCTTCAAGGCCAATGGCACCTCCTTCAGCATCACCTACGGAGTAGGGAAGGTGAGCGGCGTGACAGCCTCGGAAACGGTGTCCATTGGGCAGATCTCAATCAAGGACCAGGGCTTCGGGCTGGTCAGCCAAACGGACACGTGCAGCAGCTTCGATGGGGTCCTGGGCATGGCGTATCCCGGGGCTTCCGTGACAGGTGCCAGGCCTCCATTCTATCAGATGATCGATCAGAAATTGGTCGATAGCTCGATATTCTCGTTCCACCTGAAGAGCGGCGACGGGGGATCGCTGATCTTGGGCGGCTCCAACTCGAGCCTGTACCACGGCTCGTTGACCCACGTGAACGTAACCCAACAGAAAATGTGGCAGTTCACGATGGACTACATTGGTTTCCCCTCGAAGAAGTGTCGTCGCTGCAACAGCTGCAAGGCCATCATGGACTCGGGCACCTCTCTGATAGTGGGACCCACCGAGGACATCACGCAGCTGAACACCAAAATCAGGGCCACCTACAATGCCACTAACGGCATCTGGCAGGTGCCCTGTGGGCGAATCAGCTATCTGCCGGTCCTGGAGCTCGGCATCGCCGGCAAGAAGTTCCAGGTGCGGCCACAGGAGTATGTGATCGCCTACGAGGGGGATGTCTGCATCACGGGCTTCATGGACTTGGCGGGGCTCAATTTCTGGATCATCGGAGATGTCTTCTTCAGGGAGCACTATGTGTCGTTCGATGTGGAGCAGAATAGGATTGGCATTGCCAAGGCCAAGTAGAAAGCAACATAAATTTCTGTTAGATTTCTAGAAAATAAAGTTGGAATTTTGTGGTGGTATATCTTGTATATAGGGGCACTATTTGGGCTACTTTTGGTACATTTTGGAAGGTGTTCTATCAAAGACTATAAAGTACCCCATATCTATACAATATAGTCTTTGGTTGTGTTTGGAGATCTTCAAACTGTGTTCCTTCTTTCACTCATTCCTCGTTTATGATGGATATTCTTAGCCAATTTTGGACATATCTGGAATTATATATCATTTGTTTAGAGAATCTCTTTGGGCAGTCTTTAATTTTGGATTTAAATATTACATTTAATTTCACTTTCTTTACACTTTTATTTCTTTATTAAAGGCCTTATACTTTTTTGTATTTAACATTTTATTTAGAATGGTTGCTTCTCTTTGTTCTTTAAATGTTTTGTATACAGTATATATGGAGTGTACGTATGGAAGGATGTTATGTTATAGTATATATGGAGAAAATCGGTATCTGGTGCAGAATATTCATAGAAAATTCAAGCACTTACAAATGCAGAATGTACTGGTTTTTTAAAATTTGTTTTCTATTGAGAATTTTGTCAAGGTCTGAACTCTTTGCTGGAAGTTCTACGATTTATATGTATATATTTTGTAAGGCAAAAAAAATAATTCATTTCCCGCTCTGGGAATGCTGAGGCTTTTTTTTAAGAAGAGAGAATCTGTCTCTCGTTTTGGGGACCACTTTAAATTTGAGTCTCCGTACAAATTAGAGTTTACATTTTCATAAAAGTATATATAAAATCTGTGCCTTAGAAATATTCTTTTTGTTTTTGTGGATGCCTTTCTGTGCCTATCTGCGACCGCCGGAATGTGGAGGTCCGGAATGTGGTCCCTTGCCACTGGACCCGTAGATGCCGCGTATTGTACGGTGCTGTTGCTGGTGCTGATGCTGCTGGTGGTGGCGAATCTGCTGCAGTTGTAGCTGACGCAAGGTCACCTGCTGCTGCAGCTCGAAATTGGCGTACATAATGGCAGTGGCGGCGACACCAGGATTGGCCACCGAGTGCTGTTGCTGCTGCTGTTGCTGTTGCTGCTGCTGCTGCTGCTGCTGCTGCTGGAGAGCTGCCTGCTGCTGTTGCTGCTGTTGGAGAGCCGCCTGCTGCTGCTTGAGAGCCGCCTGCTGCTGCAGGAGAGCCGCCTGCTGCTGCTGCTGCTTCAAAGCCGCCTGCTGCTGCTGCTTCAGAGCCGCCTGCTGCTGCTGCTTGAGAGCCGCCTGTTGCTGTTGGAGAGCCGCCTGTTGCTGCTGCTGCTGCTGGTGGTGGAGGTGCTGCTGCTGCTGCTGCTGCTGGTGTTGCTGCTGCTGCTGCTGTCTATTGGCCTGATTGAAATTCATGCCCGTAAGCTGCTGGTAAAGCTGCCCGATGGCCATTTCCGTGGCACTGGGCAGATGGCCATGGGCGTGCAGGCAAATGTCTATGCCAGCCCCAGCTCCAGCCAGAGCTGCTGCCTCGGCTATGACCCTGGCCACTGTCGCTGGCGAAGGATGACGCGGATGCTGCTGCTGCTGTGGAGGCATCGCTGCAGGTCCTGGCTGATTCGCGGCCTTGTGCTGCGGCTGCTGGGACATTGCCATGCCGCCCATTCCGGATGAAGAGGGTCCCTGAAATACCGACAGAGTTGTGGTTTTCCTTAGAACAGCTAAGAAGGAGGGCATATTGGGCATATTCTAGCCAACAAATCATCATGTTCCTGACCTGCTTTCAAGATACATCCACTCAAAGAGCACCACTTACCCCCGAGTAGCTTTGGCCGGGTACTCCGGCCGATCCAGCCGCAATCTGACTGGAGCTTTGATCGAAGCCCGGCGGCGGTTTTTTGTTCTTGTCCTCCTCCAAGCCCATGTAGTTGGCGCCAAACAGCGAATAATTCTCGGCCGCCTTGAAGTACTGGGCGGTGCCGTTCTCCGGATCCTTGCTGTTATCGCCGTAGAGAGAGCGCTCCACTTCGCGTATAAAGTCCGAGGCGGTCTCGCTCACCGCTAGAGCCTCCGCCAGGGCCTCGGCAGTCATCGGAGCATCCTCCTCCACGTGGGGCAGGGGCTTCTCGGGCGGCTCCCAGACCCCAGGGGTAGTATCTTCGATGGTTGGCTGCCAGATGCGCTTGGCCACCTGGCTCGAAATTTTGCCTAAAGCGCGAGACAAACGCGTGGATTATACTCAGGTTGGAGGAGGATTCATTGATACACACCCTCAGAGGCAGCAATCGCATCGTCCTCATCGTCATCGTCCAAATTCTTTGAGTTGAAGCTATTCTCTGACATCTTTTTTGAGCGAGAAAGAAATGAAAATGTTTATTGGAAAGAAACACCGCTGAACGAGAACATTCACTGCTTCGAGCGAAATGGAAGTAATCGGATTCAAGTCGTCTGTTCGTTTGTTTATGGCGATCGGTTGCACATAAACAACTGATTTGTGGGAAAAAGCCACATGCGGAGTGGTCTACTAATACACAATGAAGTTTCGTGGAATTACTGCCCGACACAGACGCCGAACACGACAGTGCTGCCCAGTCAGAGGTCGTGGAGGCTTGCGTGCTGTGTGTGCGTGTGTGTATCAGTGGATGAACTATTGGCAGCACTGGTTAATCTGTTTGTGTATTGGTGAACGAAAAATGACGGCATACACATGCCCACAGAAGTCTTAAACTGAGACTTCTGCGGATCGAAGAAATATCAATCAAATCCATTGCATTTTGCGCAGAAAAAGCGATGTCTCATTTTGGGCGACTTTTTCAGTGCTGCCCATTATTTAAGGGAGTTAGTTCTCTGCTCAGAGGCATCTATCATGAAACACGAGTGTGTAGAGGCCGGTGCCGCAAATATTTGGCATATTTCATTGCACTTTGATGATTCTACATCGCCATTTGCACTTGTTGGCTTCAAAAACCATATGCGCCCTCAAATTCATCGACTAATTGCCTGGCAAGCCGCACATTTCGAATAAAATATATAAAAATCTACCATTTACCATATTTACCTTCTTTTTTCTGTGGAAAAGATTAAGTTTTTGAAAAACAAAGCACTTTATTTTCACTGTAAAAATGGCAAATAGTATTTGCAACGAAAATTCCGGGGAGTTCAAGTAAAGCTGCTGGAGGTTGAAAAACTTCATTGTTACTATCGATGTTTCTTCAACTATCGATGGAAGAAAGAGCGCCAACTGCTTGGGTTTGATTATTCGTACAATTTTGCTCATGATCCGACATCAAATTCGTCAATTTCGATATTCCGTTTAGTAATTTAAAGAAATTTTAACATTTATTATAAAATTAATTAACAGACGACTCGGAAATGGCGTAACAGAAGCCCGAGCCAGCTCCGGCCAACTTCACGCGTCCCGGGATTTCCACCGGCGTAGGGCTGCATCTGAAAATTGATCGAAAATTGAATTTAAAGCCAAACCACTGGCAGAAGGGAGATGCTTACACATTCTCCGTACTGTTGTTGCCACAGTTTCCGTGCTCGTTCCAGCCCCAGGTGTAGATCTCGCCGGCTGTGGTCCGCAGCAGGCCGTGCTCTGCCCCCATGTGCACGCGAGCAGGCGTCTGGCCGTCGGGCAGTCGGAGGCTCAGTGGCTGGGGCACCGCCTGCTGCTCGCTGATCGAGCCCGTGCCCAGCTGTCCGTAGCAGTTGCGGCCCCACATGAGGATCTCGTTGTTGCGGAGCAGCGCCGCATTGTGGGTCCAGCCGACGGCCAGCTGCCGCACGTCCTCCTCGAAGAGGAAGGCGTTGGACTGGCCGAACTTGTTGTCGCCCAAAGACAGAATCCGCTTGGTGCTGCCGCCCTCCTGGGTCAGGTCCACGCACTTGAGCAGCATGTGGTGCTGGCCGCTGGAGAGGGCCACGATGCGCAGCTCGTTCGGATTGTGCACCTGGATCTTCATCGTGTTGCAGCGGTGCAGGGTGGTGGCCGTGATGTCCAGCTCGATGGGCGGGGGGTCCATGACGCGCAGCCGCCCGAACACGTAGATCTTGTGGTCCTGCGTGAGCACTGCGCAGTGGCGCAGCCCGAAGCTGATGGCCAGGGCGGGCTCCTCCTTGGGCAGCCGCACGGGCAGGGGCCGACGGACGGCCATGAACCCGCGCTGGCAGATCCCCAGCTGCTGGAAGGCGTTGGAGCCCCACACGAATAGTCGCTTGGTCAGGGTTATGCCTCCAGAGATGTCCCAGCCGCAGCTAACCGTTTCAATGGGTACTTCCTAAAAGAATCGAGAGGTGAAAGTGTCCTTTGATGGATTGCATCCTTCGTTTTACCTCAAAGTACTCTGAGGGAATCATCTGGAACTCGTTGTGGCACTCCTCCGTCGAGTCCAGACCCAGTTGTCCGCGATTGTTCCAGCCGCAGGCGTGCACCCTTCCGCTCGTGTCCAGGACGAGTACGTGCCCCCCGCCGCCGCGTATGCAGCGCACCAGCTGGGGGGCGAAGGAGTGTCTGGTCAGGCGCTGCGGCGTCATGCACAGCTCCGATTCAAAGCCAAGGCCGAGCTGGCCGTGAGAGTTGGCACCCTGCACGATACAGCACGAAAAACGATAGAGGATATCACTCATTAATTTGCATTTCAAATCGCGAATCGCAGTAGACGATGTCTCTTTCGGGGGGCCTTACCCAGGCGAAGACCTCCATTGCGGTGGCCACCAGTTGCACGCCTCGCGCTGCACTTCCGGTTGCTGTTTCGCGCTCTGTCGTTGCCGCTGATTTAATACGCCGCAGTCACGCCAACAACAACAATGCTGTTCCTCCGTCGATGGCTGCACGGGGGGGCTCCACTGCTGCTGCACTTGTGCTTCTTTCTGGCCTCCACTGGGAGCTGCTTGCCGTCCGGACGCGTGCCTCTGCCTGTGGCTGCACATGTAAAAGTGAAATAACTCTGATATTGTCGGGGGTTTTTAAAATATTCCGAACTTTCGGCGTGTTCTGTGTTCTGTGCACACCGCAAAATGTAAACAAATGCCAGAGTGCTGCCAGACTGCTGCAGTCAGCTGTTCTGCCCCGACAACAGGTCTGCTCTGCCGGCACATCTGTCCGCTTAACAGAGATGTTAGCAGCCTCTGTTATCTGTGGATTCTGTACGGTTTCCCGCCAAGGTTGACATTTGAATTGGGAGTGGGTTCTCCCTTTTGCCCAAGGCATAATTTAATCAAGAAACAGCTAATAACTCGCTGGCTAAGGGTAATGTCTCATTTGGGATAAATGGAGGGAACAAGCGATTATGTAATCCCATGGTTACGCCACGAAATCACGGGAATTGCATGTAAATATATGGTAATTAAGCGCCATTAAAGTTCAGGGCGAAGGTTAAAGTGCATGCGGTTTTAATTAAGTTTTAATTGTCAACCTAGCGACACTAGTTAGCCACAAAGTGGGCTTGGCCTGGCCCAAAAGCAAGTGCAACGAATCCTGCATCCCCTACAGTGGAGGTGCTGCCTTAAATCCATAGAAACCCGCCGCAGGAGAGCTCTCCTTACGAGAATACTCCTTCCAGACTCTGCCGTTTGTAGGGGAACTGGCTTTGAATTACAAGTGCCATGAAATCCCGGCGAGCCATAGAGGAAACCAAAAGCGCAACTTTGCTAACAGCAGGACATTAGAAGGGTCCATGTTCGGCTAGCATGCAATGCAGAGCCCCCTTGTGCCTTCAAAGGAGCGCCCCTCGCACACGTGAAGAATGCACTGTGGGTCCGTCCGCATTTGCAATGCAAAACAGTCGCCAGGCACACACCTACTCGCACCTACCCAGGGGGGCCGTTCCTAAACGCCTCAAATGGAAACCGATGATTTTCGCTTGATACCACACCCGTGGCAGAAAGAGACGGCCATGCCACGGAAGACGGCAGCTCCACATGCAATCGGAGGCAGTCGGAGGCGACTCCTTTCCGAATGGAAGTCCAGCATTCAATTAAATTCAAAGCGAATCAACATGTCCCCGCGTACATGGCAATCAAATTTGAATAGAGCAATAAATGAGGGGGAAAGTCCCGCAGGGGAATCAAGGATTTCCTTACCAACGCGTCTTGCAGGGTATTTCGTAGTCGCTTCCCTTTGTTTCGCTGAGGGAACGCTTTTTACTGGACTTTCAGTATGGATTGTTATGCCCTGTCCTTAGCGCGAATATGATGAAGGGTTATTGTAGCCTGTGTTTTTCCTGTGGTCACCTTGTAGAAGAATGACTGAAGAACCCGTGAAGCCGAGCGTGGAAATTCGAATGAGAAGTGGACTGCTAAAGATATGTTTTTAAATTATGCAACGGATTCGAAATATAAGCAACTTACATTATAGAAAAAAGATCCAAGTCTAGTTAAAGCCAACAATAGATATTTCAACATAACATAGGCCTGAATTAATAGTTTTTGAATTTTTACATTTGGCGCCAATGTGTGATCTGTTAATAGACAGAATCCTGTTAATGGAACCTATCGATATGTTAATTGCAGTTCAGTGTTGTCAAACAGCAGCAGTAGGCGCGAAAATGTAGAAATTTTGAATAATGGATTCTTTTCGCATGTTTAGGATTTCAGGAATAAGTGTATTCCAAAAGACTTTTTTCTATTCTGCCACATGCCGCTGCATTTGTGGGTGCATGTGAGTGGATGTGCGGATCTGTGTGGGTTTCTGCTCCCAGGAGCGTAATTTAGGCGAGGGCCCCCGGACACGTGACTCCATTTTCTGTATGTTTTCGGCTTCTTTACGACCTTTTGTCTGTTGGTTGTCACATTATTTCTAGTTTTTTGTTGCCGCTGCGTGTTTCCTTGGTCTTGTGTCACTTTTTCTGTTGTTCTTCCGCCAAAAGAGACATTTTTTGCAGCTTTTTCGAAATTAAATCTAATTTGATGTGCAAATGTGTTGTGTCGGTGGCGTCGTCGCTTTGTCATGCCACTCATGCACGTTCCTCTCGATCCCTTCCGTTCCTTCCTTCCCGCCTGGCTCTGCACCCGCCCTGAATTAACAGTTAACGAGTAAATGGCTTACGTAGCTTTTACTTTTGCTGCCCCTCACGCTTCTGCGGTTTCGTTTTCATTGCAGGTCGCGTTTTGTTTGTTTTCCTTTACACTTTTTCCCTTTTCTTTTCCTTTTTCTCTGCGGTTAGCACTTGATGTGGCATGGCGCGTGGGGCAAGGACAGTGCCAACGTGTGATAAGCCAAAGTGGTAAGAGTGTCACTGAGGGGAGGGTGGGGTTGGGTGAGCTGCCGATTGGCACTTGCAATTATACTTTTGGCCTTTAATGTCGTTGGCATCACTGGCAAGCGAAATCCGCAATTAACTTATCGGAAATATTGAACTTTTGTTGTGGTAATCCCCCCATCTCCTATGAGCATACACCCTCCTGTATCCCAAGCATCTCTGGACCCAAGCAGAGGACAAAGGTCATGACAACCACTAATCATGACTGCGGTTTCTGCTGTTGTCCATTGCTTTGCGTCCAATCGGTTGCGGATTCAGTCCACAAAACATCAAACATCCTTCAACGCGTACGGATACGAGTTGGGGCTCCGAAAATGTCTGCCCCGCAATGCCTGTCAAATTATGAAAATGGAATATTTTCTGGGTTGGCCGACATTTTAATTGAACTTCAACCTAACTGTCGCACTGTTGGGGTCAGCGACCATAAAAATGAAGCTTAAATTAAAAATTAAATTTAGGATTTGGTAAAGAGGTTTAAGTGTGGTTTGGAAATGCAAAACAAATGAAAACTGCTGGAAATTTATTGTTTATTTATTTATTTGCAGATGTAACTAAATCCTCTCAAAAGATGATTGTGCAATGCAAAAGAGGAGATATTCGGCTTAAAAGTGCATCGGCCAGTGCGAAATGTAAGTAATTTTTGGATTTTATTAGTCGGTTTTACTGCTCAGCTGTTTAATCAATTTTCTACACTAGGTCAAAGGTTAACTGTAAGCTTTAATTAACGAAGTACATTATTGGTAGTATATTGATTCCATTTGTGATGAATAATGCATTCAATGTGATCAGAGGGTTTTACTTATTAATCATTCATGAATATTATTATACTATTCTTTTGGCAGTGAAAAATTCAGTTCAATCGAATTTTTTGAGGAGTAAAACTTCTGGCAAGTAATCTCGTTTCAGTTTGGAAACAACAAACGGTTCCTGCTGTTGTCTGTCTGTTTCAGCAGAGTTTTTAAAATCAGAACATATGGAATAGCACCGCCTTGGGGACTTTGCCAGCTGCGGGTATATACTCGCAGAGTAGCTTTGTCTACGTGGATTCCTTAAAAACTCCTTGGCAAGGAGTCCTTGCTTACTCTCCGGACGTGCTTCCATCATGGCCGGTGAGTCGATTGGCATCAAAAGCCACAAGTAGGAGGCAGGAACATCCAACTGCTTTTTGCAGGCTTGGGTAAACATTCAAAGAACCCGTCAAAGCGAGGAGAAAGGAAAAACTGCAGAATTTAAGGGAAATCATTCAGAGACCGTCTTATGATCTGCAACTTTGCGGCACCCAAGGCACGGGGTATGCCACTAGGACGCTAGTACTAGGACTCCCCTGAAAGCAGAGCTTAAACGTTGGATCTTGGCGCACATGAACCGGTAGGGGATGGATTCCGGGAAGCCCAAAATTGACCACTGGGTGCACAGATTCAGCAGGGTCGTAGAAGTTTATACCAGTGTTTTTCGATTCAACTTCGTCAAAAGTCTTATGGCAGAAGAGCACTTCAGTGAGACAGTGGTCATATATCTTGGCTGGGAACAGTTCAATAGGTTTGTGATACAGATGGTACTGGTTGTAGGCCAGAAACATTCGAATTGGCTCCAGAAGATTTGCAGTCTGTTGGGCATCAAACATCCGAAAGACAATCTCACGGCGCAATCTCAATCCTAGGCCTTGCGGTAGGGCATTCGGTTATCCATTCAAATGCTGTAGAGGAGTGGTGGCTTAACCTTAAATTTAAATCGAGAATACTTACTCTTCTAGGGGATATTCAACAGTTCGGCATTTCGACGTCAACGGCAGGGCAGAGCCGGTGAATTGCTTGACCAGGATCCCGCGCACGTTCTTCTGGCCATTCTTGAGACCATAAAAGTGCAGCCTCCTCTCGAGTCAATCCTATCATATTGGAATGTGGAGCTTACATTTCAATCTCGCCATCGGGACAGAGTCCATCACAGAGGCCTTGGATCTTGGCCATTTGTGGGAAGTCGGGTTTTTCGCTAGTGTTCAGCATTATTCTTTAATTAGGAACAAAATTATAGAACAAACTGATATCGAGAGCTTATAAATAGGTTTTTAATACTGTAAAATGCAGTAAACTGAAGTTTTCATTTACATATTTCATATTTTTATCCAACAGAGGCTTTGGCCCTCTACAACAAGAAATTAACAATTATTAATCATAAAATTAGTTAACAGACGACTCGGAAATGGCGTAACAGAAGCCCGAGCCAGCTCCGGCCAACTTCACGCGTCCCGGGATTTCCACCGGCGTAGGGCTGCATCTGAAAATTGATCGAAAATTGAATTTAAAGCCAAACCACTGGCAGAAGGGAGATGCTTACACATTCTCCGTACTGTTGTTGCCACAGTTTCCGTGCTCGTTCCAGCCCCAGGTGTAGATCTCGCCGGCTGTGGTCCGCAGCAGGCCGTGCTCTGCCCCCATGTGCACGCGAGCAGGCGTCTGGCCGTCGGGCAGTCGGAGGCTCAGTGGCTGGGGCACCGCCTGCTGCTCGCTGATCGAGCCCGTGCCCAGCTGTCCGTAGCAGTTGCGGCCCCACATGAGGATCTCGTTGTTGCGGAGCAGCGCCGCATTGTGGGTCCAGCCGACGGCCAGCTGCCGCACGTCCTCCTCGAAGAGGAAGGCGTTGGACTGGCCGAACTTGTTGTCGCCGAGAGATAGAATCCGCTTGGTGCTGCCGCCCTCCTGGGACAGGTCCACGCACTTGAGCAGCATGTGGTGCTGGCCGCT